TTTATGTAGAATAAAAAGTTGTTTACTTTTTTACGTAGAATAAAATGCCGTAATAAAAAATATGTATTTCTATTTAAAAAAGCAAAGTTGACCTTGTCCTGACCTTGGCGACGTCATCTTAGGTCAAATAACTACTGTCATTAAATGCGACTTTTTAAGCTTTACAACTTTTATTAGAAACATTTTTCTCTAAAATGCTTCCCCGGCGAGTTTTCTTGCCGTTGCCGAACTTATGGGACACACTGTATACACACACACACACACACACACACACACACACACACACACACACACACACACACACACATATATATATATATATATATATATATATATATATATATATATAAGGTGTCCCATAACTGGTAGAATACTTATTAGGAGAAGGTAGGGAGTGCAATTTGGAACTGAAAGCTTCTCTTCCATTTTTAGATCCGACAATTAGTTAACGAGATATTAATTAAGTTATTATTCATTATTAATTACTAATTAAATTAATTAAGAATTAATTAAGTTTGCCAGTCTCAGCCTTGAATGAGCGCTCAGGGACGTAGAACGCCGTGGGCTCCTCAAGGGCCCTGCTTGCCCGTTTTTCTCTCCTTTTTGTACACATACACTAAAATCATTCACGATATCCAACCAACGACATGCAGAAAACAATTCAAATCACCCACGCACTCGAAGGAAATATACCACATATGCCCTCCCCCTTCGGCACATAAAGTGTAATCACTCCGTCCACTCGCACTAAAAACATTTAAATTATCCATAGTTATAACCGCACACAAAAATACTATACATCACCTCCCCCCCACATTAAAAACTTACTACCTCTTTAACTCCGGTCAGCCACGTATCCACAAACCTACTCACTTACTCATCCATATTTATCTTGTGATACAAAAAAGGGGGGGGAAAACGGACAAGCAGAGCCCTTGAGGAGCCCACGGCATCCTAAACGCTCACACGTGGGCGATAGTTTAGCAGAAGGAATAGTTTAGGAAAGGCTAAGGGAAGAGATTGGCAGACTTAATTAATTAATATCTTATTAACTAATTATCGGATCCAAAAATAGAAGAGGAACTTTCAGTTCCAAATTTTACTCTCTATCTAACCTTAACGGATGTTCTACCAGTTGTGAGACACCCTGTGTATATTGCTTATATCAATTGTCAATTAAATAACTCTTAATTATATTGACTATGTTCAATCGTTAATCAAATAATCTTTAATTACTTTCACTCACTTTAATCGTTAATTCAACAGTTTTTAATTGAATTCTTTCAAATTAATCGTTAATTGGATAATTTTTAATTAGATTTTTTAAAGTGATTAATTAAAATATTTTTAATTGAATAGGCCTATATTAATCGTCGATTAATTAAATTAGAAATTATTTACTCAAATCAATTATTAAATTGAGGTGAATTTAATTGATATTTTTATTAACTCTGATACATTTTTATGTGGACATTAAACATTCAAATAACAATTTTACTTATATAATATCGTGTATTTTATCTATTAATAATGATCATTTACACAGGAGAATTATGACTAACGTTACCAGTGGAATGTCTATATCTACAACTTCAGCCACAACTACAAGAGCCTCCACCACGATCAACTGTACTGATCGGAAACTAAAGGGTCAGTTAGTGTTTGAATCTTCCAGACATCCAGCCGATAGAGAGGATTTTGAAGCAACTGGTAACGAAACTTACGTTCCTGGAAAGGGTAAAAAATCTTATAATAATCAATATGATGGAGATGCTTTAAACACATCGACCAAAACAAATAATGCAACTAGCCCAAAACAAGGTGGAAAACGCGAGGAGGGTTGGAAAGAAGTTGTACGGAAGTAAGAAACATGTTTTTATATCTCGAAAGTAAAGCTTCTTCTTGTCGCTAAAGCAACTTATTAGTTTTATCATTATATAAATCGAACTATGAATTATATTATAGTTTTCATAGTGCGTTGCAATTTACAGAGGACAATCTGATGATTCTGGAAGATTTATGAATTCACCGTTCCGTTCCAAGAAAGTATCCGTACCACCAAACGCTATTAGTCGCGTGATCGGCAGAGGTGGCAGCAATATCAATGCAATTAGAGGTGCAACCGGTGCGCATATTGAAGTCGAGAAGCAAAGTAAATGTCAAGGAGAAAGAATTATCACGATTAAGTGAGTACCGTGTTTCACTATCCGCAAAGACAAATTCTAAGAATCCGTGTACGGGATTGTTATAAAACCGATTTTAAGGCATATATGATAGATTTATGATGATGGGGTTCTTCTCTACTTAGAAAAGATTTCTAATCGCCGCCCACCGCAAATATAGACACAAAATACTAAACACAACTGCTCGTACGATCAGAGCTGTGTTGAGTTGTGTATGCGAGTGATGCGCAACCGCCCAGTACACTATAATATGGAGATGACTTTAACCTTTAGACCAGGGCTCGGAACGGTTTGCCAATTTCGGCCGATTCTCGGGAGCTATGCCTTCTATCTCCCTCTTACCGCACGGCGGGCCACAAAAGTGATGGTCGCGGCTAGTCAAGCTTGGAGGCTCGATCGTCACTTTTGCGGGCCATTCGCAGTAAGGAGAAGATAGAAGGCGTAGTTCCCGAGAATCGGCCGAAATTGGCAAACCGTTCCGAGCTCTGCATAAATCTCAAAATTCTGCGCCATGTATATGTCACTTATATAGAAAAATTTTTGAGAAAAAAAACTGCTTTTTTAATGAAAAAATGCCGGTAGCCTAAAGATAAAGTAAGAAAAAAAACGATTACTTCAGCTGTTACATTTTAGCTAAGAAAGGTTATTTAATCAATTCTTCCTTTACATACGTTCCTTTTTTGCTTTTCTTCCTATCGTTCTCCCTACCTCGCTTCTTATCCTATATTCTCGGAGGTTTTGTTATTGCCTTCTAAGAGGAGTGCGAGCATAAGAAAATTTTCGGTTCTATCGGATATCGGACTCGAGACCTCCAACGTGGTAGACTGGTGTGCGGTCTGCTACGCTCGCACTCTGGAGGAGGCTTTAAATAGTGTTAGTGAAAATATATGCGGAGGAGAACGTACTTATAGCGGAAGGGCTTATAACGAAGCCTCGCTGTACATGTATTGTCAGTTTTTAAATAAAAACGCAACTGAAATCTGATATCCGTTATTCACAGAGGATCAACTGAAGCGATGAAACAAGCCTTTACTTTAATAACGGCACTCATTAAGGATCCAGACGTTGATATATTGCAAATGCTTCCGAAATCAAAAACCACCGTTGTAACAACCTCTTCGTGGGATAAAGCTGTCTCTACCACTGCTGTGAGTATACATCGAGATGAATGTCACAATGAAATGTTTGTTGAATGTGACAATTATTGTTGAATATGACAATTATTGTTTTTAGGCAAGTAAAACGAAAGTCGGCTCAATAAATAAACCTCCTAGTTTGGCATCCAGTACAACTAGCAGTCAAATTAAATCAGGATATTCCTCGGGCGTGCCTGTAAATCCATTGCTTCCTGTGCGATCTTCAACCACTCTTAAGCTTGGCGGTCCATTCTCGGCTGCATTGCCACGTGCGACAGCTCCTAGACTTGTTGCCGCAGGTAATACAGAAAGTGCAAGAGATCTAGATCTTTCGCTACTTTACGTCTGTTTTCCGACCGCGAGTTTGGACCGCGTCTTTCTTATATTTGGTTCCGACGTTTTGTGAACATTCCAGTCGGAATCAAGTACAAGAAAAATGCGATCCAAACTCGGAAAACAAGTGAAGTATTGGACAACATTACGAAAGTCTAAAATATCAGAAAGATCTAAATCCTTCTTTTTAAAGACGGAGATCCGTCTTTTATAAAACATTAATGATGCCAGCACCATTAACTATAACAATTGTCATGACTCTCTATTCGTTTTGACTCAAAGATTTAATTGTAACAGACACTGAGTAGTTCACTAATTTTTATCGTGCTCTAATTTTTGTTTTGATTCAAAGATTTAACCGCGTAACACAGGCATTGAATGGTTCATTCGCCTTTTTAATCTCTGTTTCATCATTGCATTATTATATCGGAATCAGAAGCATATACTCGTATACAAAATCATGATTTTGTGACGTATCAACAAGTAGATACGTCAACAGCTGTAATTTGCATTATTAATCTAGTAATAAAGAATATGACGAAAATATGTGTAAATAGAATAAATTGTGTGTACAGCGGAAAAACGTGCGCAAGCTGTAGCCGCGCAGTTGGCTTCCTCGACGAACACCAAAACAACAATGTCTTACACGAGTGCCATCATGACATCTGGCAGGGCAACGAAAATCGTCACTACCACAACGCAGACATTCGCGGCGAAACTCTCGGAGATCACTGCCTCGACTCATACCTCCACCACCGTCTTGCAATCCCACACTGCAATGAACAAGCAGAAGCCCGTGCAGCAGGCCAGTACCGTAACCGTCATGTCGTCGGCTACGTCGGTCGCAGCGGCAACTTCTCAGACATCCAGTCAGCAGTCTGTAGTCAGTACATCGCCGAAACACTGCCGACCACTGCCCACTGCCTTGTCCGCCGCCCCGCCAACAATGACGTCTCATTATCCGGGAGGAAAGTCTACCTACCCGCTTCCCGGGACGAGCGCGATCTCGTCGGCCACGAACACCGCGGTGACGAATTGTTCGGAGAGTTCCAATGTTTCGACATCTGCCAGTTCTATACGAGTGACACCCTCGCCACCCGTTGTATCGTCGCAGACACAAACATTACCACCGCAGCAATCCCAGGCACAAGCACGTAGCACCACGCCGATTACGAATACTATCCAGGAACAGCAACAACAACAACAGCAGCAGCAACAACAGCAGCAGCAGCAGCAGCAACATCCTAATAACGTTCATCTCGAATATTCTCTATTTGACGATATGTTTAGCAAAGTCACGCAACAATCAATGTGGGGCAGAGACAACGAATCTCAAAAGGGTATGAATTTCGCGACCGTTGCTGGTGGCGGAGTGTCTATAAATACGTCGGGTTCATCCACGGCTAAGTTTGACAGCTCTCCACCGCAGGTTCGTTCTGAGAGAAGATTATCTATGTTTCATATGTGCGCATTCGGGTCACATGTCATTTATTTTTATATTTAATCTCTCGAATGTTCTGGACATATATGTGTTCTGTGAGTTTTTTTAGCTTCTTATGCTTTAAACGTAAAACAACAATTATTAACAATCATCACGACACAATCAACTGTTGTCGATTTATATTTGTTTCCTTTTTTCTACATATGCATTTTTTCATCGGTTGACGTACAGTTTAAAGTCCGTCCTCAGGGATCATTTCTCGATGATGCTGCGCAGTTAAAATATTAAATTTATTTACCTCTCGGAGTTTCTTCTCGAAAAACGATTTCGTGTTTTTATTTGTTTTTTTACGACAAATCAACTTATTTTACCATGAGATTCACTGAGACATACAGGAAATGATAAAATACATGTTCTCTCTGAATTCTGTCCAACAGGTGGATGCGTCTAAAGCACCAGGGTATCGCGGCGGAACAATGTGTTCACCGGTTTCCAGCAAATCAAGTGGCACAAGCAACACGTCGACTAACGTAATTGGCAGCGGCGTATCGTCCACCTCGGTGCACAATCCCATCCAACCCCCACAGTTTCAATCCTCCACGAGCTATACAGAGCATCCTCTTCCGCCGAGCAAACCGCCCGGGAGTCTAGCGGTGGCTAGACCGGTGATACCGCAGCCAAGCATGGAGATTGGCACGAGTATGGCACAATTCAATCGACCGGTCTTTCAGGGTGAGCTGCCGTCGCGCAATTCTACCACCCATCAACCTCCTCATGTGATACCGTCGACGCAACCGGCGTTAGACGTTGGCTTGTTCAAAGCAAACAGCGGTGGCGCGTATGAGCATCCAAACGTAAACTCCAGTTTGCTGAAGATGGTGCCGAACGACAATCAAAGTGGCGGTCACCCTTTATTACCGTTCCACCCTCATATGCAGAGTTACGCGCAGACCGCTATCGCCCCGTCCGCGTCTGTGAACACCACCGTCAGTATGTCGAGATTGAATCCGCGCGCGCCAGACTTTTCCAGCTCGCTGCATCTCAACAGCAAGCAGCCGCAGGTGACCATGTTCAACACCGGCTCGGCCACGCTCCATCCGGGCATATTCCCCACCGTACCGGCACCGCCGCCGGCGGCAATACAGTCCAGTAACATCACGATGCTCGGCAACTTCCCCCTGGGAAAGTATCAGACACCTTCGCGGGCGACCCCGGCGAATACTGGTATCTCGGCAAATCAACAGACTCGCTGGCCGTTCGCGCCGGGCCCGCACAGCAGTTATCCGCCGCCACACCAGGATCCCATGATGGGCCAAATTGGTTTCTCCAATCATCTGGCTAACATCAACGCGCAGCCCGGTAGCATCGATCTGATCACAAGTCTGGAGAATGGTGGATCACCGGCTATATCCCCGTCGTCTCCAGCGCAAGTGGCCCAGGAGATGAGTCAGCTGAAGATCGAGGACCGAAAAGTGCCACGGCCGATCGGTACCGAGAGGGCATGGAAGAATTACACCACTACGGGCATGGGACCTGGCGGAGACGCCGACTCTATCAACTGGATACTGAATAACGAGAAGATGGTTGGTTCGTGGACTGGTATGACACCTGGTATCGACAGGCATCAGATGTTCCGAACGAATGCTGCCTACAATCGTATATCCAACGTTGAGCCGGAATTGCACCAAATAATGGAGACTTCCTTCCAGGTAACGTTTGATCCTGTCGCACGATTGAACCGTTAATTTATCCATCGAGTTCCAATTGGTATTCAGAAGAGAAACATAATATCACTCTAGTTTACACGAGATTATTCTGTGTATAAAATTTTCTCATAGCACACGTAATCATCATACGTAAATGCATATATCGCTCGATAGCAGCAAGCTGATAATAGACTCCGAATGCTCAGGTAAAAATGGGTGATAAAAAGAGGCCGGGTGCACAATCAGTCCAGTTTAGACAACATTGCGTTAAGACGTTTATAAGCAGTAAGACTCGCGGGATCTCTCCGCCATGGTCGTATACGCATGTAAATGAAACTCTTGATCCTGTCTAGGGCCATGTGGATACTCAGCAACCCTTCCCTAATGGTAATGCCGCAGCTCTATCGCTCATGCCAGGATTAGCGTTACTCCCGGGACAGTTTGGGGCGCCTGGTTTGACGGAAATACCCCCGAACGAACCGAATAAGATAGATCCACCCGCATGGGGATTGCCAGACGCTGTGCAAGACAAACAACATCCGACGGTAGGATCTTCTCAGTGCTACTATTATACATATGTGTACCTCTTTAAACTATATACGATACATATTACACATACTATATATCTTCGCGTGTATATAGATGAAAAAGCGAGCGACAAATAGACAATTTTACGTTACTGTAAGGGTAAGATTCATATGACCTCGTTAATTAACTTTGTCTGTTTGCAGGCGTGGAATAAATGGACTCACTAAAAGATAAAGATTCATCTTGCCGACGTAGCTTTAATGAGCCTTCACTTTGATGCGAGAAAAACATAAGCATACTGCGATTCGGAGTAGTACGATAGACGGGAATTGGAATTATAACGGAGCGTCGTTTATAAGGATACAAAACAAATTACCACCTTATGAACCTATTATTATATTCGTTCGAGCCTAGATTCTCAATATTGCTTGTCACGCTAGACGATATAAGGCAAGAGATCTTTAATTATCCTTATTGTTATTAGTAGTGTATCAAGATGGTGATGATAATGATTATAATGATAAAGATTATGATAATTATCGAGTGTGAGATACAAAAAAGAGTACAGAGCCGACGTCGACTAACGAAGGAACAGCAGTCCGACACCGAGGATCTTATTTCGGGTCTCTGCTCCTTCTGGCCGCGCGGTCTTATGCTGCGCATCGTACTAATTAATAATAAGTAATACAACGCTAATAACGATAATTGTGTTCTCTTCTATTTTATCGCTGGTAATGATGGTCTAAATTCGCGATGCCCCGAAAAAAAGAAAAAGAACGGAGGAAGAACCCCTCAAACCGCGACATCATCGGATCCAAATAAGCACGCGTACGCGACGTTCGTGCGTCGTCATTTCAGCTTCTGCGATGATTATTAAACGTTAATGTTCAAGATCACGCGAAGGGAGCAATTCGAACAAATGCAATTCGAATTGCAAAAGCACATCACCTTGGTTAATTATGAGCAGTTTGCGTTTTTGAGACAACTATATGCTTCTAGTATCAATCGGGCGATCGTTGATGAGAATAGTTCGTGTGTGTTATTTATCCGCACTGTAAAGAACGCTATAATAGGTTCAAGTACTGTAGTAATACTAGTAGCACTAGTACGATACAGTTGTGTAAATAATTGCTTCGCGAATGAGATTTCGATTACTTCCACGCTGCAAAGCGAGACCGAAGAAGACACACGGAATGAAGAATAAAACAGATAAAAGACGAAGAAGAGATCAAGAGCGATCCTGAGGGGACTACTGAGACTATATCGGACCTGGATACACATTACTCTCTTCCACTTCTCTGTGCACACACATGCACACACAGACACACATATACACATACCTGTGTTCGTTATTGCTTGAGCCGTCACTGTTGTTAGTACTCTAACGATTCCGAAGCGTTTGTTCGACGCCACCAATCGCCCTTCGCGTCGCGTGTAACCTGGATTAAATGTAGCGCCCATTTCGCATAGACGAGCGAAACGCGTAGATTCCTCGCATCCTATGCCGTGCGTTGGTGCTGCGTTAAATAACGAAAACGAGAATACACGAAACGAACGAGACGAACGACGACGTTATTTTCACGATCACGAGTTTTTTTGATTTTTCATCGATCGTCATCGCGCGCTGCGTATTCCTTCTTTTGTTTTGACACACGGCGTCAGTGTAACAATCGTGCAATGCTGTCAAAAGGCAAATTAACCCGACACAGATTATCGTACAATACTCGTAGCGTGTTTTTATGAGGCACAATTTCACACATAAACGTATGCCCGTGCGCGCGCGCGCGAAAGAGATTACACGTATACACATGACACACAACACGCGTAAAATGACCAGTTTCTCGAAATCGAATTTACGTAAGCATTACAGAATTGTCGGCACGAATCGAATACACACTGTACTAATAATATATTATATTACGTATACCGAATCCTATTCAGATCAATGAATACTGTTCATTGTTAAAGTGGTAGTGGGCCGCCAACGCATAAAAATATAGCTGTGCGTCCCTAGCAACAGTGCTATTATAATACTATTATTGCTGTGGTGGTAATAATGTTTATTATTATATTATGGTTATTATTACACACAAGACATAACTATAGGACAGAAAGCAAGAAAAAAAATATGGTACATAGAAAGAAAGAAAGAGAGAGAGAGAGAGAGAGACAGAGGAACGTCATCCGTTATCTCGGCTGAACTAGTAATGATATAATAATATTAATATTAATAATAGATACACACACACTCGAGATACATACATATGTATATATACACATACATGTGTATGTGTATATATATATGTATGTATGTATGTATGTATGTACGAAATGTTCATTTCAATTGAACATTTGAAAATCTTTCTTGGTGGGGATTTCGGCAAGTGTTCAATACATAGTGACGATATATACTGTAATTGAAACGGTCCCCACACACACACGTAAGTTTCAATGATGAAGCTCATGGAAGACGTACGAGGGCTTTTTGACCTATATTCCAGGGAGCGCTTCAATTATTCTCTAAGATATATTGTTATAATTTAAAGCCTATTTTCAAATTTGATTTATGATAACTGCGATATATGATATAAAACTATTATATGACCTATAACACAATAAAGCAAATAAATAAATATAACGACCGACGAATTCATTATATTTTTTTTTCATTGTATTTCACATCCTGCTATTATTCCCATTTTCTCTTACAGATATTACATTTGACTTCGATAATTTTTACTTATGCCGGTTCCTCGTTTTTCGAATGTGTAGTACTCTAAATATAGTCTTTTTTATTTATCTGGAAAAAATAATTATATATATAAATTATATGATATATGTTAGATTTGAGGCTTTCACGGCCATTGATTCAACTTCACTGATTCACTGATTCACTGATTCAAGACACGGCTCCATTCCGGAAGCTATATTTAGACATTATATGATATATGATTTTGTTCACACACACACACGTGTAAGTGTGTGTGTGTGATCGAATGTAACACAAGTGTGTGTATCGAATTTTTTCAGTTGTAAAGTTTCTAACACTAAATTCTAATTTGCACACGAGTGATTTAGACGATCTGAATGTAATCAAAATTTCGAAATTGCATCTCTTATCCGAGATTAATCATTCCAGCAATTTATATGAACCATTTAATCACGCCAAATAATATTTTTCAATATCATTGTATTACATAATAAATGTTTTATAGTAATTTCATGTCTAATTCAATTTCTAATTTAATCAAATCCGATAAGTTATCTTTTTAAACTATAATTTCTCGATAATAACACGTTTAATTATTTTATTTCATCTTTTAAGGATTTTGAGAATTATAAAATTCTGTCAAACAGTTGAATATTTAAAATTCCTTTTTCAATTTGTCGATGATTATCATGACATGTCTTTTTATCTTTTCGCATGATTTCATCACGTTTATTTACGGTAAATTATTGATTGTTAGAGCAAAAGAGGTGTTTGGACTATTTCACAGATTTGTTTAATCGATTGCAAGTGTAGCTTTACGGATATATCTTTTTATTTTAACATATTTCGCAAAAATTTTAGTATACGTTTTTTTGCTTTTGACATCATTAAAAAGAGGTGGACACAACTATAGGAGAGTTTTAATGCACAAATATTTACTGCCTATTGCGGAAGGAAAAATAAAGACAACAGTTTTATCATAGAAAAATGTTTAATTTAAAAGATAAGCTTATGCGTTAGTAATACCAAAGAAACAGAAAACTTACAACGTGTGTAATAAAGAACATTTTTTTTATAACAGTCATTACATTAAATAACAAATTATAAAAAATTCAGAACTTTGTCCTTGTTTTGTCGCGCCAGCACAAAAATTTGGGAAATAGCTTACGATACGGTCAATTAAATCGGACTCGAATCCAAAATAATCGTTTACATTCCCGTTCAATTCAGGTGGTGCGACAAATCCTGCGACTGACATATACAGTAAAAATAATAAATATTTACATGTGACGACGTATATTTATACAGAAAGTCAGTACCGCGCAAGAAAGTTGGTATGATTGTCAAACCTTCATGAGTTGACAGCTCTCTCTGAATAGACATACACACAACTCTCTCACATACACGCATACGTACGTCCACATACTTACATGCACACATACTACATTATATATAATTGTTTTTACTACATATAAAAAATATATTTATATGTATAAAATAAATATAATCATACGGCAAAAACATGATGACGTTCGATCGATGTATCTTGTGATCACACGCTCCAACTCTCTTTTAAGTAGCCCCGGCGCGTAAGTAAAGAATTAAGTAAAAAAAAAAAAAAGAAAAAAAAAGAAAAAGATAAAAAACTCAAGTGAAACTAAATCATATATTTTGCGCGATTATTATCTGACGGATATGATCATAATTATATATATATTATTATTGTGTATCTAGTCGATCGCAGAGAGTCGAAGTTTTCGAGGATTTACGAAATTATATGAGTGGTATCAGGAAATCAATCATTCGCTTATACGTACGCGCGTGTGTATATGTGTGTGTACGTGTGTGTGTGTGTACATTTGGTTGCAAAACGATTTAAACATAATACAATAAAGAACGCGGTAAATTGTCATAATTGACAGACATTTCTAATAAGACTACGCAATCGGTTATAAGAGGAGCCAAAGTGACAATATGCGCTATAATTATTGTATAATATAGTTTATATAATATACGATATAAATATTTTATTATATTCTTATCTCACAGATAATTATATTCTTATCTATCAGATATAATAAAAATACTTATGTTTTCCCTGATTCCTCTCTCTATTGCAATTGTATATAACGGAGATGTCTCGCAATATAATCACTTTAGTTTCTATCACAACGAATTATTGCGCAAACCCGCAATAGCACCCTCACAATCTGATATTTTAATGATACTTTATTGTGTCTAAACCGTTTTTCGCAACCAAATGTACACGTTACATGACATACACAAATATATATATATATATATATATATATATATATATATATATGTGTATTAAATAAATAAAGAGAATTTACCAAATAATAATATACTAATCTTTCTCCTGGCTGTCATTCAAAACAATGATAAATAAAGCAGTTTTTACAAGGCGAAAGATTAATAATTCTCGTGTCTAATCTTATTATAAAACCGTCTCTCTCTTACTGTAAGGAACAGAAATTATGCTATTTTACGGGGGCGAACATGTCTAATGAGTCTTCTTGCCGCTGTAGCGAAAGTATCTCTACATCGAAATGATTCTTCCGTGTAGAATTCTTATGTGTGTAGCGGAATAAATGAAAAATAAAATCTTATGTCACATTATTAGAACTGTGTGTTCACATGCGTTACTTATCTCGTGATTTATTAATATTTTTCATTTTCTCTTAAACACATTCTCTCTTCCTTTTTGTCTCCCTTACACACACACACACACAAAGTCTCTCCCTCGCTTACATAATTTTCGCCGTTATTTCAAACATTACTTATACAATGCGGTGGCATTGAATCAAAGTAAGTTTACGTCCATTGTAATTATATATAACTTGCACACAACCGTTTTTTTTTTATTTCTTATAGATAAGTTGCAATAATGTCTTTGACAGAACCGTTCCCCTATGTGCATATAAAATGTCTTAGCAAATCTCACGGATCCTCACGGATCCCACACGCCGTGCACTCCCTGTGTTCAGTTATACTATTCTTCTCTCCTTTTTATCTATGAATCTGTCTTACGGATAAGACCGCATTTAACAACGGTTTGTCAAAGATTATTGCGTCATTTTGTTTTTAATCTTGTAAATTCACTATTCTACTTTTTTCCTTGCTCATATAAAAATAACACGCAATGCGAAGCTATCCAACATTGCTTTGTACATTCGCCCGTGCTCCAATGAAACAAAGTTGAACTTAACAAGTCTAAAAGAGTGTCCATTGCCAAACTATGACGATTATCCGTATTGTGATGCAAAAAGCTACTAGTATAACTTAATGTACGATAGAATCAGTGATCATCGATTACATGTTTGGACCGATTACGATTTTGCAGGATATTATTTTCCCATTTGTCGAAAGCTCGGTCCAATTGCTCGTGCTCCAAGTGCTCGCATGGATAAATCTGGCGGGATCTATCTCGTGTAACCGAAAATCGCGCACGAAAAGGAAGGAACTGAAATTTCCCAGCTGAATTCAAGGCTAATAGAATTATATATGATTTGTAACTAGCTATTATTTTCCTTCCTCAAGTAACATTGAAAGAAGATGTCGACTAATACTAGCGATTCTATTCATAACGACGGACACAGCGTCGCGAATAAGTTTTTTTTTTTATTTTTATTTAGTAATATTATAGCAGATTCTGCATGTGTTTTGTCATACTCTTGCTTTCTCATCGAATAAGATATCGCTTGAATATCATTCGCGAACCAATCAATCAAAGATCACGAATGAAGAAACTGTCCGTCTTGGACGATTTTATGAATTTATAATCCTAAGAAACTAACATGACACCTTCATGTCACGTAAGTGTGCTCGCATGCGTAAAGGTGTGCGATTACATTTATTCCGATATAATAAAATAAGATAATAAATCTCATTTTCACGAAATGCATCAATTGGATCCGTCAATTTTAGCTATACTCACTACTCTTCTTTGCACCTCCCGTTTGTCCCTTTTTCTCACTTTTTCCTTTCTCCCGTCAAAATGTGGTGAGTAAACTTGTTTCATTTTAAATGCAGAAGAGACCATATTGCAGCTAAAACGAACGGATTTACCGTCTGGAATACCATTTCACCCACATCACATAGATTCAACAATCCGCGATTTTTAACTGTGCTAATACACGTTTACGATTAATCTCATATTTACACGTTATCGTCGCTTAATTAAGACAAAATCTAATTTCCGCTAATGTTGTGTCTCCTGACTTTCTGACTTGTGACAGAACGTCAGATTGAAATAGCGGTATGTACATCTCATGTGTATGAAGTAACTCTCTTAGTAGATTATTATTAGGAAAAGAAATAATTATAGATAGTGCATTTTTAAGCTGAAAGCAATATCGATAATTTCCAAAATCTTCACAGACGAAGATTGCATGGACAACACGTGAGATACGAATAGTTATCGATGTGCTTCCGTTTCGCAGCCACTAACCGTAGAAGTAGAAACGAACGAAGATTCCTAAACGTAAAGCAAGAGACAAATTCGAGAAACTGAGCACGAAATTTAGCACAATTTACGAACAGTAAAACCAATAATACATCGAATTATAATACATTGTGCGTGCATAGATTTGAAAATATTCTAAGATTCCAAGATCACATGATGATAAATCGCACACGATACACGAATAAATAAAGACTTCAATATGAAACTCTGATTGTATCTACCCACGACTGTACCTCCGACAGATACAAAGCACAAAGACAATTGAAGTATCTCACAGCTGTACTCAACGTTAATGGAATAAGGATTCCAGCTGATCTTCGCAATGAGTCTCACAGTGTAAAGCAGATGGCTCACCCATGGTTTAACCATTCTACTTACGAACGACATACAACGTATATCCTCGTCGTTGCAAACGAACTGCGAGCTGGTAAAAATTGCACCGTCTATCATACTACACAATGACTTCGTCGGTGAGAGTCGACACAGATTAAGAGTCGATAGAATGATAATTACCCAAAACTAATCGCTACAATCGAGCTTTAATCCTGCCTGACACCGTAGGAATTACTTGTCCATTTCGCGTCGTTGTTTCGCCTGTCAGAGTCCGCGTCGGGATCTGCGCTCTCCGACAGATCGTCATCGGCGCCTATGAGCGACGCAAACACGTCATTTTAACAAAACGTCATTTAGACGAGATCAGTTACACTGACAAATTACGATTCTGAGAAGAATCAAGAATCGAATTAGAGAGGCTCGGGGAAGACTCACATGTCTCCTCCTCCTCGTCCTCTTCCTCTTCACCCGAGGAGGAGTCACAGTCGCTGTCTGTGCTCTCGGAATTCGCCGACAGCGAGCATTGATCGTAATCCTCGGGCTCGGAATAGACCTCCGCGCCAGGAAAAATGTATCTGCCTAGTTTCATCTGATAATACGAGTTTTCTGTAGACAATCGTAATTGAATTAATACTCAATACTACTTGCACAAGAATATATACAAAGTAAAATATATACAAAGTAAAATATATACAAAATTAAATATATACAGAATTAAATATATAGAAAATAAAACAAAATAAAATAGCAACTCAGAAAATGTGTACCTGGTAGTCTGATAGCGAGACTCTCTCGGATCTTCGGTTGCCAACAATGTCCTTCTAATGTTCTGTTTTTCAACTCGGTCATCGCGTACTTCTCCGTGCTGTCGACGCTGTTACAACTGTCGCCTATACCAGAATCCAGTACAGAGTCTACCGACGCTTGCCTCGGCTTCGGTATCGTCTTGTCCGACTCAATGACATCTGCTACTGTCATAATATCGTCGTACTCGATCGGTTGCTCACAGTTGTCCAACAATTTGTGCGACTCCAGGTTATCGTATAAAGCGGCTTCCGACGAGACTGACGACACTGTCGTTGGTACTACTTGACATTCCTCCGTTGAACTGTTTTCAGATGCCGATTCTGTAGACGCAGCATGAGTCTTATTCCTCGACGTGGTCATTGCACATTCATCATTAGCTTTCGTCGGCGATGAAACGAAATTCACGAGTTTCGCATCGCGCGTATTACCGAAATTCATCCTCTTAGGACTGTTCTCTATACTGGTATCACCTGACCGCCTCTTTGGACTTTCTCCTAGAAGATTGAAGCCCTCCTCCGTATTTTCCACGTGTCCACCATAGAAAGGTGACACACAGATATTGATTTCTTCTGCATGCTGTGGCGTTGTATTCGTATTGATCAACAGACTGTCTTGACTCTCAGTCGAAGACACATTGTGAGACTTCAAATCGACTTCCACGCTGTCGCGCGACAGTTCAGTGTTGGTTGTTGTATCTTGACTCTGTTCCCATGTGTCGTCGGATAGACAACGCACCGGTAAAAGTTGCGACACCTCCTTCAAAATCTTATCATGCCAACAGACTTCTTTATAAGGATCTCCCAACCTGTAATTACGACAATAAATCGAGATTTAAATAATCGTAATTAAAATGTTTTTATAATTTAATTCAAATGAAAATTTGAAATGTAAAATGTAAATTTAAATTGATTAAGATTATTAAGTTGATTATTAAAATAATTAAATTGTGTAAGTTAAAATATAAATTTAAAATATAATTAAAACTTTGTTATATTCAATGAGGGATGTGTCATAATTAAATAGCAATTTATTATCTTTATTTCTCTGAAACATTAAAAACATATTCTTAACTCTTTATGGCATAGCAATATAGTCATATATATGTCACTTTTCTCTACAGTTTTTCATGATTTTTACATATTTTTCAATAGGCTAAAATGATTTTAATTATACATTTAAGTTCCTAGTACACCAATTATTATATAACAATTATTAAAATTATTTTATTTGTTAAATAATCGACTCAGGGGATTTTTGAGATCGTAGAATTCAAATTCGGGGTCAAAAAATTACTTTATTTGCATAAAACCTTATGTTAGAAGATATTTTGGATAGTTAATTGCGAATATGTTGACAAATACGAAATTAAAAATTTCAATGTAACAGTGGAAAATAGAAAAAAATTGTGTAAATTCCATGGTATTATAAGCAATTCGAATATTCCGAATAGATTTGCAAGTGTAATCTCGCTTTAGCCAAAACTAACGACAACGTAGCGAGCTTCTAGTTCAATCTTTTTTACTCCATGTTTTTTTTATTTCTTAATTTTTTGTTTCTTATTATTTTATCTTTTTACTTTTTAATTTTTTGTTTCGTTTTAATCGTTTGTTTTACTTTTTAATTTCTTATTATTTTATCTTTTTTACTTTTTAGTGTTTTGTCTTCTTTACTTTTTTTTGTAATACTTGAATTTCTTGTAAGATGCGATGGTAGTAAAAAAAGATGTAATTGAAAGTAGTGCACGAAGGTATATACTTCCACACAACGACCCCAAAAATTCCGAACATCAAATTTCGTATAAATTAAGTCACTTCTTTTTACGTTTTTGATTCGCTATTTTGAATTTGTTATTTCTAGTTTTGGACTCAATTTCATTTTCTTTCCCAAAAAACCTTAAGTACCGAATTTCGTCAAATTTTAAGAAATTTAAAAATATTTTTCCACAATATCGGATCCGCCATCTTGAATTTTCAAAATTTTCTAATTTAGATTTCGGTTTCGAAATCAGCAACCCCAAAAATTTCCAGAATATCAAGTTTCGTTGAAATTGAGCTGATAGAAAAATATATATTTTAAAGAGTTAAATAACTATGGAAAAATGATTGCTCAAAAATGTTACTTACAGATGACATATCTGATTGATAATAATATCACCATCACCCAACAGCTCAACGTCAAACTTAAGGTGCTGCAATGGTTCCCGATTAATGAGGATCTGCGGTACATGCGACGGAATGGATGACGGGATTAATGACACCGGCCGAACTTTCAGGGACGAACCGATAATGATTAAAAGGTCACAATCGTCCTTGTCTTTGGCCATCGAGTCGTGAAAAGCGTCCGGCAATCCCTCGCCAAAGAAAACGATATCCGGCTTCATTATTCCTTGAGATACCAGATCTGGAAATCACGTGAAGGAACGTTAATCTTTTTATACAACTGATCTCGAGTAGAGACAATCTTATAAAATGGGTGTTTCTTGCTCCACTTAGTTCCAATATTGCGCTGCAATACTTGCAAATTTCGGGAATAGCAAATAATACAAATTAATACCGGACACATCGCGAACAGTGGACTCGTTATAGCCGCGAAACACGGCACTCACGCGTAAGTGCAATCTTAGAAGTTTACCTTTATGCGCTTATTAACAAGCGAAATTTTATTTTCGCAGTTACGATTGATGTACCGGACTTATGTGTTGGATCAGTAACGGCATTTAGTTCGAGATGCACAATCCGAGAAGAGTAGATAACATTCTCTCATTGGCCATCGATTTTATAGCGATACTATAGCTAATAGAAAACTATCACTAGCTAACTCTCCGTACGGTAGAAATCGATACGCCGTTACGAAATACTGCAAATAAATACACTATCAGCAAAAATCAGATAAAAACGAGCTGCTTATTTACCTCGGTAATTTTCGTTGGAGTTAATCTTGGGCAGAGAACGTAACATATTAACACGACATTTCGGACACGAGGGTATCCTCTGCGCAAAGATATCTTCCCTGATGTCGTCAGCTTTAACTTGATATTTACATCGTGTGCACGATGCAGTAGCGAAGGAACCTTCAATAAAAACAAAAATGTATATATTAAATACATGGCTACATTTTATCGCACAATGTTATAAACTCTATTAATTATATTAATATATTATTTATATTGTTTTATTTGCTCTCTATATTATTAGTTTAATATCTTTAAGCGTTTATTAAGTCTAAAAGTCGAAAAGTAACTCGAACGCACAATTTATTTATCTTCATCTCTAAATTTTAATTCACAAGATTCTTTTTTAATAGCTCACCAAAATCGGCAAAATTCCGAATATCTACGTGATGTCTAAATTTATACGAAAATATCTTCTTCTAAAAACAATATTTTTAGTAGAATAAATTTAAAATCGTCTTAAGTTCATCTTAAAATACTTTGTAGCTAATAAAACGATGCGTACAGCATCTGAAGATGCATTTAACACGATCTTAAATATAAGATAATAAAATATCAGAATATATATATAAAAATAGTTATGAAATTATATCTACATTGACAAAAAAATCTTTCTCTAAAACATCATAAAATCGTTCTGAAACAGTTCGTGAATTTTATAATTAGACATACCATGGCATTCAATCACATTCTCGATACCAGCGGCTTGCTCTAAAGTGTCAATATTTTGTGAATAATTCCTCAAGAGTTTCTTCTGTTTGTCTAGCATCTTGATGAACCTGTGGCAAGGACTAGGCTTAAATTGTCCTGGATATATTTCACGTGCGAACTTATAGAACGGCCTGGGATCTTGAGCAAAATAATTAATGTCGAACATAGCCTGAAAGCAGATTTTATACAGTGAGAAAAAATATGTCGAAATATTTAGACACAATAGCGTCTTGCACAATGCAGTCATATATCGCAACAGATATATTGTTATATTTAAATAATCCCGTATATAAAAATAAAGTACAAACTCAACTACTTAAATATAAATTGTGTATACAAGTTACTCATGATTTAAAAGATAATGGAGCTGATATTCTTTAAATACCTGTGGGTCTGGTAAGTTTGGAAAGTCTTGTGCTAGTCTTGAGTAAATACCATCTCTACTTCTAAAGTCAGGAATACCACAGCTGACGCTCACACCAGCCCCAGTCAATACTATGATTTTCTTGCTGTTGCGAACCAATCTCACCACGTCTGTCAAAGTATTTATGTGTCTGAGTTTCTGCCGCTTAGGAGGCTCCGACATCATGTTAATTATCATCTGAAATTGACATTATTTTTAGTTACGCTCGTACAATTACTTCTTTACAATGAACTTTGAATGTTAAAGTTGAATTTTGAATATTAAAAAACTAAAAAGGACATTATATTTAAATTTTATAATTTATATTTATAATTATATTTATAATTATATTTATAATTTATATTTGTTCACTATATTTAATGTTTTATTACTAACCTGCTCAGGAATCTGTGTGGAACCCATAAGAATGTGATGTAGGAGATCTCTCGGGTCAGCACCAGTGAGCATCTGTCTTTGAACCCAAGAAGAAGCATTTCGCCACTGATGGGCAATTTCTGGTTCCCCGGAAAGATCGGATAATCCTGATAAATCCGAGAGATTTGAAACAGTAGAAGAGACTTCGTCTTTTTCGTCCGCGGTGTCGTTTCTAAAATGAGACATTAAATAATAAAGTTTAAAAAGTGAACTAATTCACATAATATCAAAAAAATTAATTGGTCATAAGTGAAACTTACGGACAACCAGTATCATTGCTGACCGAGTCAACTCTGGATGGCGGTGATATTAAATTTGTAGTTGCAGGAGATATGGATGCTGATTTGGATTCATCACTCAGTTCCGTAAACTCACTATCTGTATCAAGGGTTTCTATAAAGTAGAAGAAGTATATTTGTAGCTTATACATGATAAAAATGACATTGCCATAAATCAATAATAAATAAATAATAAATCAATAATAGAAAGGATGCCGTACTAGATAAACACATTTTAATGCATATAAAGTACATTGAGACTGTTTGTAATTTTGAAAAAGGCTTTCTAAGTATTTTATAAAAAACAAACAATGTGTGCACGCTCTTGTGTCACTGACTATATATTGTTACAAATTGTGTTAAATATTTTCAGTAGAATATTTTTCACAAGTTTTGCAAATAAATATAGTTGTAATAATAAATAATAACTAATAAATAATAATACTAATAACTAATAATAAAACTAACTAAGCTATATTACTTTAGTTTTGTAAAAATTTGAAAAATAAGTAGATATAGCAATTTTTGGTTTTCAGTATTGTTTATTGTCACGCGCGTGCGCTTAAAAATAGAAAAAATATATTCAAATAAATCAAATGTAATTTGGGTTTATTTATTTATTAAAAATTTTTTTCATCTATACAAGATTATTTTTGACAATATTATGCGCTCGATTGGTAATTTTTTGTATACATTTGATGTTAAGTGACGATGGTCGAAAGCGAGAGAGAAACAAATAAGTTTTGAAATTAAGTTTATTATTTGTTAATTTTATCTTATCAATATATTTTTATATTTATTACTAGCAAGGGGAATATGAGGTGACTGTTCCAGGGATTTTGTTGCGCTTTTTACAGGCTGTTCTTAGGCAAAAAAAAACGACACGTGTCCGGCCGTTTCAGCCAATGGGCCATAGTTTCAAAGAAATCGATTTTTAAAAATGACTCTAGTCGGCCGCGGCACACTTCATAAGTTCGATCGTCACTATTGAACAATAGCAGCGGTAGCACAGTAGGTAAGACGTTGGCTTCGTACAGAGTAGATTGCGTGTTTAAATCTCGTCTCGTGCATTTTTTTATTAATATGTTAATTTTTTTTTTATTAAAGTGCTTTGAGTGCTTTGAGTGCTTTAATCGTTATTAAAAATATGTTATCTGTAATCATTTATATTATCGTAGATATATACGAAAAAGATTATTTATTTAATTATATTGATATATTTTTCTTGTAAATGAAATTAAAAAATTTTTAAATAATTATTATAATAATTCGAAAAATCTGAATAAAAAAATATTATCTTTATAAATTTCATTTTAATTTATTAATGTTATTCATGTTATTAATAACATTAATATTAATGTTATTACTTTTTGATCGCAATGAAAGTTTATAAATTTTCAAATTAGTAAATAATTTGTCCTCTTATTTGTTGTCTTATTTTTCTTTTTTTCCTTATTACGCAATGATAAACAAAGGTTGTGAAGCTTGTGCCGACATATCATTCTTTAACAATCCTGTATTATTTGAGAAAATTATTAGAAAATTTTTCGTCATGTCGCTCATGATCACTCACGTTTTTATTACATTTTTATTTATATGTCCATATGAATAATAACAACGATGATAACGACAACGACGGTAATAATAATTATTTCGACATGAATATTTAATTATTTACTAATTTGTAAATTTATAAAATTTTATTAGAATCAAATAGTAATAAAAATTAATAACATTAAATTAAAATGATATTTATAAAGATAATAATATTTCTTAATTCAGATTTTTGAAATTATTACATTTAAAAATTTTTTAATTTCATTTATAAGAAAAATATATCAATATAATTAAATAATCTTTTTTGGGTATATCTACAATAATATAAATAATTACAAATAAGAATAAATTTTTAATAAAAAAATGCACGAGACGAAATTTGAACACGCAACCTACTGTGTACGAAGCCAACGTCTTGTCTTACCTACCGCTGCTACTGTTCAATAGTGACAATCGAACATATCATGTGGCGCGACCGACTAGAATTATTTTTAAAAATCGATTTCTTCGAAACTATGGCTCATTGGTTGAAACGGCCGGACACATGTCGATTTTTTTTTCGCCCAAGAACAGCCTGTAAAAAGCGCATCAAAATCCCCGGAGCAGTCACCTCTTGTTTCCCTTGTAAAATTAGATTTACATAAGATTTGACTCCAAATTCAACATTTTTGGCTCTTACTCGCCCGATTTTTCTTATAATTATTTATATTATAATTAAATACAGTTTTACTTGCCTTCTCAAATACACATTTCAAAATGGATGAACACCAAATTTGCGATTGCATTATAACCGCATTAATTTTAATTTACTTCCTGAATAGCTATATGCTATATTATATTAATAAATACCGATGTGAAGAGGCAACTGAATGCTTAACTTAATGTTTGTTTTTGCTCTATTTACATATACGTAGCTTTTGCATTACTTATATATCTTAAGTATTACTAATTTATAGACGTGTTGTACATTGTATATTATAAGAAAAAAAGTTTCTCCTATTAAATTAATGAATAAATAAAATAAATTCCTTTCTAATCAGAATATATGTTTTCAATATTTGCAATTAACTTTACAAAGGGATCCAAATTGTTTTTTTCACATTTTGCATCCATAAAAACTTACACTGTGTTACTAAATAATTAGTAACACTTTTAATAACATTATCTCGATTCAAGAACCTTCTCATTATTCGCCATAATTCTATGGTTTGTATTCTATGGTATGTACTTCGCTATTTGAATATTATTTTATTAAATGATTTACATCTTATGTTTATAACCATTTTTTTTCCAAGTTTTCATAACTTTTTCCAAAAATCCGAATAGATTTCCATGCCAGGAGCAACATGCTTTTTTTGTTAATTTTAATAAAATTATCGCGTTCTCCATTGATTGTTAAGATATATTTCCAGAAGATAATCTGTGAACTGCTCGCATATAATCATTTAAAATATCCAAAATCCCTTAACAATGCTACTGGCCTGTTCATATATTTTCTTCAAATTTTACATTTTTTCCAATTTCATATTTATCAGTTTTCACAATCAAATCATTTTCTCAAAAAAGAAAAATCAACTTTTATTTCAAATTTATATAAACTAGAGATAAATTTATATACATTAGAGAAATATATATAAATTTATATAAATTAAAAATAAATTTATAAAGAATTGATTCATATAAAACTCTACAGCAAATGTATAAAGTACATATTAAGTTGATATTCCTATAAAACGTTTAAAGCGTAAACAATTTATAATTTATAAACCATTTATAATTATATATATTTCTTATAAATGTGTAAGAAGTATATTTGTAGCTTAGTTTTATAAATGTGTAAGAAGTATATTTGTAACTTTTGATAAAAAATTTACAAGTTAAAAATAAATTTATAAATTAAGTTTATAGATTTATTTCTTATATATATATATAGAAATAAAAAATTTATACAAATTAGAAAAATGTATTTTTATAAATTATAAATTTATAAAAAATAGATTTATATGAAATTCTACAGTACATGCATGAAACAAATATTGAGTTAACATCATTCTATAAACTTAAAACATAAACAATTTGATTTATACAAAAACACAAAAAAATTCATAATTATATATTTATTATTTTATAAACTTATAATATAAACAATCTCTGATTTATAAACAAAAAATTCACTTATAATTATATATTTTTATCAATTATTTTCACAATTAGTTTTTCGAGTATATTTTACTTGTATTCAATGAAATGGTACGATTTCGTTTTATTTGTATACCCTATATTTATCCTTTCGACTTCTGTCTCTCTCTCTACAGTCCAAATATTGCACCTTCTTCACGTAAAGTACAGGAAACGCAACTAAAATAGAGATATACAGAAAAACTTCGACATGTCTCTCGCATATAAATCCGTTCATTCTAGTCTCGCTTCTTTTTCGCTTTATGCATTTCAAGTGAGACAAACACAATCGTACGTTGGAGGAAATGAGCAACAAAGAGATCAAAGATGTAGGAAACGCATCTAAAACGAACAGACCGTACGAATGCCATCTATGAACGTCGACGAGGAACGCAGCGGTCACACGCGTATTCCGTCAGGAAATTCGATCAATCGATCGACGTCTCGTACAGCGCGAAATGTGTTGGTATATTCCGCATTAAAAAAAAAAAAAAAAAAAAAAAAAAAAAAAAAAAAAAAAAAAAAAAAAAAAAAAAAAAGAAAAATAAAATTAACAATGTCTCAAGAGAATGGATGATCGAGAAATATTAGACCAACGGGTCGCGATCGATCAGCCTGAGACCAGAAACGAAGATGACGAAATTACGACGCAATTCCGTGACGACTGTCATGGCGTCCGTCGTGAAGCGCGCGACGAGCGAGAAGGCGAAGGCAGCGAACGCGACGGAAGGCCGAAAGGCGCTCCTAGCCGCCATCTTGCAAACACCCGCGAATTAGTGCGTACATGCGATCGCATGCATTTGTAGATTTTTTAATACCTTCAAAATCGTCGTTCGGGCTGGCGTAGGCTGTCTCACCGGCCATCGGATCCATCGCGACCTCGTTGATGCTCCCGTGACCGCCGCCGTCGTCGACCCTACGACGCTTCACCGGAGACGAATACTCCGCCAGGTCCAAGCTCGACGCCATATTCGACAGCAATGCAACGCATAGCACGATACACATATCTGCACATCGAAGCACACCAGAGGTCGCACTATCAGTCCTCCCGGTCGTTTCTCCCCTCTCAACCTCAGCGTCCCGACGACGCATTGGACATTACTGCAGCAACGCACCCTTCTTCGCGTGTATATTCCTCGAGAGAATCTTCAAGATGGAAAACATGAAAATTGTTGAATTAAATCTCGTTCGTGCGTATTCGACACTACGGGGTATTTTGATCAATTCGCGAGCAAGTGTTCTCTTTCGTGAACTCACGTCGAAAACGCTTGACAGATGTGTATTTATTTACTATCTCGACGTTGACATCAACATACGAGAAGATTAAACGGAATTTACTGTTATTTAGTGAATGCTTCGACGATCGTTTGGAAGCCTTTAATTGTGTATCACCGCAGTCGCGTCTCTTATGTGATCGAGCTGATACATTGAAACGTGAAGATTAAAGAGTTGTACTCACGTATAGAACGAAATTTACATATAATTTTCCAATCCTTTGTTCTGGATTTTTTCGTAATTTATTATGTCTATTTTTGCGATTTTTCAAGCGATAATTTGGCATCGTTATTTGATAATAACTTGGCATTATCGCGAAGTATATGTCACGACGGTATGTGTTGTTTTGACTTTGAAATTTAAAGGTTAGACTAGAATTAAGCCCTATGCACAATACCAGGCAATAGGAATAGGCATTAGCCAATAAGAACAGGGAATAGAAATAATTGACCAATCCGAATTCCTATTCCCTGTTCCTATTGTCCGTTGCCTGGGCTGCTATTCCGTTACCGTGATTCCGATAGTTGTCGAATCAGTAGGTGTGTTGCGCAGTTTTTCCACGGTATAAAGTATTTTTACATTGGAACATCGAGCGTCGAGCATTAAAGCGGTAGCCAATCAACGTGCCACTTTCCGCAAGAACTACAACTATACTTCTAGAACCTGATACGTTGATTGGCTAACGCTTAAACGCTCGACGCTGGAACGCTCCCATGTATTGGCAGCTTAAAAAAGCTGCGCAACGACGCCTACCGATTCGACAACTGTCAGTATGCGGGAACGGAATAGTACCCCTGGCATTGTGCATAGAACGTACAAGGGTGAAATTACATGGACAAATAGTTGCAGAATAGAGAGTGTGTCATAGAACCAACCAATCAACACACAAAACTTGCGCGATAGAAAGAGCGGCATAGCAAGTAAACCTCACGAGTAAATTGTTATCACACACATCAATTGTGATATCTGATATCTAGTGCTTCTATATGTATGATTTTGTCCCGATCTACAATAGATGTAGTAAGCTTTAATGCAGGATTCACACTGCGTCCGATGTCCGACATTCAATAAAAGAATAGCTTTCCCATGGAGAATTGAATCCTCTATTAGAAAGCTGTTCTCCTATTGGATATCGGATGTCGTACGTCGGACATTGGACGCGGTGTAAATCCTGCATAAACCTTAAGAAATTGATCAATCATAATTGATTATTCCTCTATAATTCCACTGTGATTGATCAATTTCTTAAGTCCCGATCTACATAGGTACAATACAATAATAAACTTTAAGCCGTAAGAAATTAACTAATCATGATTGATCATTCTTTTATAATTCGACTATGGTTGGTCAATTTCTTAAAGCTTAAAGCTTACTACACCTATTGTAGATCGGGACTAATGGCTCCTGCACATAGAATGCGGTAATGCTTACCGCACGGACTTCCGCCGCGCGGCAAGCATTACCGCGTCCTGTGTGTGCAGAAGCCATTACATCTATTGTAGGGCTGCGTTCAGATTCTACACCCGGGTGTATTCTACTACTAGAAATGCTATAGCATATGTAAGGCTGCGTTCAGATTCCCCACCCGGGTGTATTCTATTACTAGAAGTGCTATAGTATATGTGACATATATTATAGTGTTTCTAGTAATAGAGTGCACCCGGATGAAGAATTGAACGCACCCTAGATTGGGACTTATGGCTCCTGCACACAGAACGCGGTAATGCTTGCCACGCGGCGGAAGTTTGCGCGACAGCTAATCAATATGCTACTTTCCGTAATATCCTTCTAGCTCTTACGGAAAAACAATATATTGATTGGCTGTCACGCAGCAAGCATTACCTCTTCCTGTATGCAAGAGCCATTAACCAATAGAAACAGGGAATAGAAATAATTGATCAATCCGAAGTCCTATTCCCTGTTCCTATTACCTGTTGCCTGGCATCTGAGGCGTTTTTTCATTTCGTGATCACGATACCGTTTGGTTAGTTGGTTTAGTCCACTTAATGCTCGCAACACCTCGAGCAACAAAGATAGATTGACACTCGCGACGTTGCGAACGTTAAGTAGGCCAAACTAACCAACCAAACACTACCGTGGTTACGAAACAAAAAAACGCCTTTGTAGGGGCCTTTATAACGTATAAGCGCTCAAAGAGAACGCAGCTAAGATGTTTTAATATATAATTGTAGATCATATAAGAAACAGAAAAACGTACCAAACAAGATATTGTGTCTCAAGAAAAATAAAAGTAAACTAGTAACCGGTTGACAAAGGAGGTTTCTGACCAGAAAGAAGAGACCGAACCGAAAGTAGGGCTTTGGATAACTTTGAAAAACACGCGTTTTCCATCAACCTGCGTTACGCTCAAATAAGATTCCGTCAATCGGAAGCATCACTCACTTCGGCCGAATTATAATTTAAGCAATCGGCTATAATGGGTTCAGATCACAGGCGATGGGGAAATCTGCGAAAAGTATTGGAGAGATCAGGACCATTCTGCCGGCCCGACTTCGAGCCTTGTTCCGAGACTCTTCAGTTTCTCCTAGAAAACTGCAAGCTGCTCGTCATCGGTGCCGGTGGTTTAGGATGTGAGCTACTCAAGAATCTAGCTTTGATGGGTTTCAGACAGATCCACGTAATCGACATGGACACAATTGAGTTGTCTAACCTCAATCGGTAAGTTAGGTTACGCACAGTATGAAACGTCCTGTCAGTTTTGACAGAGCCTACGTATCATTTTCATTTGAGCGGATTATTAAAGATAGGTTATAATTTATATGAGAAAAATATTTGAAATGCAAGCATCGAATATTGTAGGCAGTTTTTGTTTCGTCACAAAGACATTGGGTCTTACAAGGCTGAGGTGGCAGCGAGATTCATCAACAGCAGAATTCCAGGCTGCAATGTGATTGCGCACAACTGCGAGATACAGGCCAAGGACGAGGAGTTCTATCGACAGTTCCACATAATAATCTGTGGACTGGACTCAATAGTTGCGAGAAGGTGGATTAATGGTATGTTGCTATCACTGCTTATCTATGAGGATGGTGAATTGGACAAGTCCAGTGTAATACCGATGATCGATGGTGGGACTGAAGGTTTCAAGGGCAATGCTCGTGTTATCTTACCTGGTATAAGTCCATGCATCGAATGTACATTGGATTTGTATCCTCCACAAGTGAGTAATCCTTAATACCGTCTTGTGTAATGATCCCAGATAGACATATATCAACATATTATCTGCTCGGTGACTGAATTATCAATTGAAAATTGTAGTACATGTCTTTGTACAACAAGAATTTTGTTAATATATTATCAATATGTAAGAGGAGTCATCAGAGATATCATGAAAATTGTGGCAATTATTCTGATGCTGTTTAAATTAATGACTGCATTAAGCCATTTCTTTTTAGCACTTTACAAGTATGCTCAGGCAATCTGAAATGCTTCTTTATACAAATATCTTTTTACTTTTAAATAGCATATAAAAATTTTTAGCATGCATTTTTTTGCTTCTGATGTTATCGAGCCAAGATTCTGCAGCAATAGGATTAGAAGCTTTAATCTTGTCTAAATCTAAGAATATATACTAATCAAATTCATGAATTTTATAATAATTGCAAGGCAGCTTTTTCTGCTGGATGCAGGTGTTGTTCATTAATTAGAAAGAGAATGTAATTAACCTGGGATTATTGCAGTAACAAAAAGTAAATATTTTTATTAAAATTATAATTATAAGCATAATAAATGACTTTTTTAAAACAATATATTTTAAAAACATGTTACAATAACATCATAAAGTATACATTAAAGTTCTGTTGTTTTTAGCTGAATTACACATAGAAAAGTACAGCATACAAATATTACTTGTAAATATTACTTATTTGAAGTATTTCATGAATTTATTCACTCTCAAATATATCATAAGTTTATCGTAAGCATTAAATTTATTCAAAATACATTCTGAATAAGATTAATCTTAATAAGATTAATATTTCAATTGAGAACAAATAAAAAAAAATCAGATTGCTTTGACTACACAGAATCAAATTTACTTTCTTTTCAGTAAAGTTTTGTAATATTCTTCTAAAACAATAAGTTCTTCTCTTATAATATATATATAATAACGAGATTTTCTTTATATATAGTTCAAAATTATTATCAAAAAAATATTCTTTGTTGAAAATAACTATTACTTACTAATGTAAGAAAACCAATTGAGTAATCATTTCTATCAGCAATAGAATGATATTTTCTTGTGTATAGACTACTCTTTAAAATGAAACAAATATATAATTTAGTGTTCAAAGGAAAAGGTATAAAATTCCAGTACAGCAGTAACTCAGCTAAAAGAACAGACCTTAAGTGTTCAGCATCATCTGTCTATCTGGGTCAATATTGTCGGCGGACGAAACTCGTTCATTAGAAACTTATTTGTGTCTTACATAGGTCACATATCCTTTATGTACGATAGCCAATACTCCACGCTTGCCAGAGCACTGTATAGAATACGTGAAAGTGATACAGTGGCCGAAGGAGAACCCGTTCGACTGCGCGATAGACGGAGATGATCCGCAGCATATCAATTGGATTTACGAGAAGTCAAACGAAAGGGCGGCGCAATTTGGTATACAGGGCTTGACGTACAGGCTTGTGCAGGGTGTCGTGAAGAACATTATTCCGGCAGTAGCATCAACGAACGCCGTTATTGCCGCGATCTGCGCGACGGAGGCGTTCAAGCTCGCGAGCAGTTGTAGCGCGTCCTTAAACAATTACATGGTAATTGACGACTAATATACGATCATCGTGGATAAAGTAGTAAATTCAATAACAGGATCGACGAACTCGTTTACATTGTTTCGACTGGAAATGAATCGTAACACTGTCCGATAAATCTTGACTTGTTTTGTCCCACGAGCGTGGATAATTATTTTCGACGTATTTTTCGCCACTAAACACGAATCCGTTGTCTAAATATCTGGTCATTACGTCACAATTTCTAAAAAAAGTGAAATAAAATAGGCCAAAAACGACTATTACAAGCAACTTTGACGTCGATTTTTCTATAAGAATTATTTTTCTTACTGATACAGAAGCATGAACTTTAAGCTTCAAAATGAGATTTTTTATATGATATTTTGTCTTGGAGATATATAATTACTTAGATTTAATATAATCTATTTATATATAATTTTAATATTAATATTTTCTTTTTTTCATGTAATAATTATAGATTATAATAGTCTGCATTACAGACAAACGAATATGCGAAATTACTGAAGTTATTGCTTTTTTATTTCGTCGAATCTGTTGATTACATTATGCAAGTACAAAAACACCACTCAATGTAGTATTAAGAATTAAATGTAGTCTTCAAAACAAAAAAATTTTACTGAAACGAAAGGAAATGTATTTGGAAGCTTAAAGTTCATACTTTCGCGTAGCTTTAATGAAATTTAAAAATTTAAAATCGTCATTTTTATTTTATCCAAAATTTATCATTTTTCCATATTTTTCTCAAAATTGTGACATTATAACCAAATTTGGAAACAAATTTATATTTACTGACCAAAAATATGTCGAAAATGACTGTTCGCAAAAACGTTTGGTAAAATAATGTTGGATAATGTAATCATATCGACGGGGACCGATAAAAAACAAACTAGAGATAAAGAGATGCAATGCGCAGTAAATATGGTCCGTGTCTTTTATTCGCAGGTGCTGAATAATCTGGACGGAGTTTACACGTACACTTATGAAGCGGAGAGAAAAGAGGATTGCCTAGCGTGTAGTCAAGTGCCAATAACGATCGAGATCAAAGACTCGAGATACAAACTACAAGATCTGATAGAACTTCTTTGTAATCGGCCAGACCTGCAGATGAAAAATCCCGGTCTTACGACGAGCGTAAACGGTAAAAATAAGACTCTCTACATGCAAACGGTGTCCAGCATAGAGGAGAGGACCCGCGAGAACCTGTCTAAGTCGCTGGTCGACCTAGGTCTAAAAGACGGCAGTGAAATAAACGTCGCCGACATCACGACTCCTAACACGATTGTCTTGAAGTTGAAATTCCCACAGAGCGATCAAGAGATGCTGTAACTACGACGGAATATCGTTTATTATTTTATTACCTCGCTCCTCACCGTGGATGTATTGTCGATGAGATCGAAACAAACTGACAATTACAAATATAATAAGATAGAAGTAAAGTGAAGAAGTGCTTACACATAATTACATATTGTTCTATGTTTGCGCGCGAAGTAACGGGCTTTATTACGCGGATTATACCGAGATTGATTGTGGGCGAATATGCAATTATTCTATTTCAACATGTGCCCACAGCATTCATTTAATCGTCAGCAATTTCTTTACCGTTCTCAAACGTAAGAAAATATGTGTGAAAAAGAAATATTGAAAAAAAGTAAACTAATTTGTAACTAAATAATGAAGTATACTCAGTACTTCAACAATAAAGACACCACTGTAAATACTATTCTATATTTCTGTACTTACATCCTCACTCTGATCAGAGATCATATGTCATAGCAAAATTATCAACAAGTGATAATCTATAAAATCCAGTTTATATAACTATAAGTTCAAATTGATGAAGTTGTCCTCTTCTTTATCTTTCTACAAATACATAGCACTTTTTTTTTCTTGCAGATTACGTATTCAACTACGTTGAAAGAGAAATGGAATAATATATAATGATTTGTGAAATACATATAATGTATGTGTCAAAATCTTTCTATACTTGTTAGCTTGTCGTCAAGCATTTTTATAACAATTTCTCTCTCTCTTTCCATATATCACTGTATTAAATTTTATTACCGAGTATGAATTTTGTGCACGGCCCTCGTTTGCAAAATTTCATACTTTCTTATTTGTTCCGACGAAAATCATTACAAAATGGCTCAACATTACGGTTAACTTGAAGATCTCACAAGAAAATTCCTCGAAGTAGCCGTCATTTATGTTCTAAACGCGAACAGCGAATGTGCGAAAGATATTCGGGCAAATGATGGACAGTGCACAACGATCTAAGACATCTTTTGTTATACAAGCACACTCTGTAACATTCGACGTATGCACACAACTTGAGTAGAAAAAATATCTATAACAGATACATTATCTATCCCTCTTACATATAAAACTATTATTACACAGTATATTAATTTTTATAATTTGCGGCTTGTAGCAAGTCGGCAAGTCAATTACTCCCTAAGAATGTATTTTTTTTGTAAAGAACTATTCTTTTCTTTTTTCTTTTCGCATAAATAAATTCGTCCGATGTAAAGTGCATTCCCAGCTGCTAACAATTTGTTCTCCGTACACAATTTATAATTTACGCGGAATATGAGAATAAATTATAATAGAGCAATTTCTTTTCTCTCTCTCTCTCTCTCTTGTCGGTCGGGGGTATTTCGCAACGAAACACTCGGAGAATCATTGGCATTTCATTATTTATGCAGTGTCCCAAAACGGACATTCCTCCAATTATACAATTTAAACGTTATTAGTGTTTCTCGTAGCTGGACACAGGATACAAAATCGACTAGCGTGAAACTAGCGACGTGAATCGAAGTGAATCGTATCTCATACGGATATTCACAGTGAAGTGTGTGACAAAAAATACATAATTATTCTATTCACAAATTAAATCGTTCTTATGTCTCTCCGACATATCCCGCCCGAAAATAATTACACGCGAAACAATTAGACATTTTTTAAAGTACAATTTTATCGTACAGAAGACAAACGAAAGTTCGTTAATACAGAAATACATATACGATTCACTTTTTCATTAGATCCAATCCACAGAGAATGATCGTATAGTATTATCGTGTAGGAAACGTTAGTTCGGATGTTTAAATGCGATACAACTGCAAGTAATAATCATAAGAATAATTGCCAATTCGCATACAGTAATAATAATACCATGGTCCATTAAAAGATACTCCGGTATAAAAACTTAAGCGTCGATAGTGTGTAAATTGTGGCATAATGTATGATGATAAAGTTTTATTCTGGCAGAGCAAAAGTTGACACTTCCCTCGAGTGCGAAGGTACCATGTGTGTGTGTGTGTGTGTATGAAGCTCGCACGCTCAAATATCAGATAATTACCGATATTCCTTCACAAGGAATGGCGAGGATGTAGCAACACGAAGCATCGCGCAATATAATTTATCGATGCAATGTTTCAGGATGTCACAGCTGTTTGTTATGATCTATTTCGAAAGTGTCCAGCCTTGGCTCTTAAATCGCTAAATAAAAAATATCGGAGTAGTGCAGACGATGTCATAAGTCATGGTGTACGATAAAATGACAGTGTTAGGCCTTGGCATCGACTTCCATCGCGACATCTCCTACGGCTCGCTCGGCCTTCTTTTTCTTCTTTTTCGCAGATTTCGGATTCGCCGAAGAGTACAAAAGATTCTGAAATTTTCAATTGTGAAGAGAACACAACAATAAAGAAAAGTTGCATTAGTAGGCTAATTACTCTTCCTCATTTATATGAACATTCATTCATACAAACCTTTAATTCGGGATCGTCCACAACACAGTCGGATTGATAAACGTCGAGATCAAAGGGAATTCCTGTAATTTTGTGAGGTCCGTTAGGCATCAATAGTACCGTGAATTTAAACTGCGCAGCATATTCGTTCGGCTTCTCGTACAGTACCTGTCAGAGAAATAATGTTGGAGCATTTTTTTCACCCACGATACGATGACTAATGGATAAATATAGATAAGCAAAATACTCACTTGGAATGGCTCAATCAGCCTATGATTAACACACTCTACTACAGCCATTTTAGCTTTCTTCTCGTCTTCGAAAGTACGTAAATTGAATGGCATGAGACCGTGCTTATGGGAGACTTCCGAGTAGAACACACGAGATGCCTTCAGTTTAAGCTGATATGTCTCCTCTGTCTTCTTGTATATCGTGACACGGGTGTCCTGTTCCCTCCCTACTCCCTCACCTGTACTAACCAACACGTCCATCGCGTAAACCTGAAATAATGTATTGTAAGTTCGAGAATTATCGAAGAAACGCAAAATAAACCTCCCTTATGTTTTCTATACTTTGTCACGTCCACTACCAGAATCACATGTGTGACAAATTATGTAAATTCAATTAGCCTATTTAATACAGTTTATATGCACAAGTACAATACACATTATATTAAACTACTAAAAATATATCATGTCAAATAAAAAAAAATTCCGTACTTCGTGAGTTTCGAGTGTGTACTTTTCATGTTCTTTCTTTTGTGCATCGTTCGGGTTCTGAATTATCGTCTTCTCTCCGTCAATCTTGAATTGCTTTAACTGATGACTTAGCATTCCTTCAATCGGCTTACACTTATAGGCATCACATATCTTCTCCACAGTTCCCGTTATCGTGTAAGTCTGAAAAATACGAGTGTATATCAAATATTTGTTTGCGATTTTGAGTTGAGTATTCCTCAGACTCCATAAGACTCAAAAAATATAATAACACAAAGTACTTTCAATCCTACCTCTGTACCTGGCTTCAAAAGCCTCAATGCAGCTTGAGAAGCATAATGCGCAGCTAAAACTACATCTGCTTTCCTGCCTGTCACTTTGCTCTCCACTGAAGAACCTATGACAATGGTATGTGCCACTACAGCTATGAAGCCATCAACATGTGCTCCCAGATCACTGCAATTGCAAAGTGACTTCATTAATCATATTGTATAATTGGAATTAGAATCTATTTTATTATTATGCAGGATAAATCCTGTTTAATCCTGTTTAATGTTTAAGTATAAATATAAAAGTGGTATAGGCAATCAATATCAAAAAAGAAAAAAAAAAGAAAAATGAATAGATGGACTAATTATTCGAGAAAGGAAAAATTAATAAAGGCTAATACATAAGAATAATAGAGATTAATCTAAGAGTTGCTTGAGTAAATTGATCAACATATAAAATATAACTTGTGCATGATAAAAATATACAAGAAATTATAACATATTTTCTGTAGAGAAACTTACACTTTAACCATATCTTCATTTTTAAGTATGCGATCGGGTTCACTAGCAATAGGGGAGAAGTGGCAAATACAATTATTAGCTGATATGCATGTTGGAAAAGCAATTCCCTTTTTAAGTTCCTTCTCCTTTTTAAAAACTTTACTAGTCTCCTCTAGAAGTAACTTGTCACTGTATTCGCATATCTCCCTCACAGATGCTCCAGCAATGCATTTGTCTAGGACTTGCTTTAAAACCCCTGTAATATACACTCACATGTATTCAAGCATATCATCATAAGAAAAATATATTCAACTGTAAGAAAAGCTACATGATAAAATAAACAAACTAATGATTATATTCTTGAAAGGAAGAAATGATTAATGATATTTAATTATAATACAAACATGGAATTAAAATAAAGTTATAAAAAAAGTAAAAAAAATCCTAAATGCTAAAGACCTAATTCTTATTTTTTTTATAGACTATCTTATATATATTATATATAAATAATATTATATATAAATATATAAAATACAGCTTACAAATATATTTATTAACGTAATAAACTGAAAATAATACTTTCCTTGCAGAAGTTATCTTCTGCAAGCAAATTAAATCATAACACACCAGGCAACCATGAATGAATATCGCATCATCCACTGATCACATCTAATACATAGCCTATACTTGGCTGAAGCAGCAATTCAAACATTGCACACACAAGCGTTCTAATTAAACCTCACAAACTCCTATCGCCATCCTATCATTTCGGGGGACCATATGAGTTCGTTAAACGGCCTCATGAATAGGATGTCGTGGTTGAGCTAACTTAACAGAAGCAAATGGAGCTGAGCAAGGAATGCGTGTGCGGCATGACCGAGTGATCGCGACTGGCGATACGTGTAAGCGAGGACAGGCCAGCGTCTGACGGTAGAAATTGCATTAGCTCGCAGGAGCGTTAAATCGGACCGTGAACGCGGCAATCGTTCATCTAGCACATGGTCGCGAGGTAGCCCGGCATTGGCGCGCCGCATTCCATATGGCCGTGACGGCCAGAAAGGGCGCGCGCGGCGCGTGTCTACGTTCGCATGGCCGTACGCTCGATTATAGGGAGGTGTTTCCTTACGATTCACGATCTCGCCGGCCATTTTATACTTGGTGACAACCAAGTCCTCGGCGATGGTCTTTTCGGTATCCTCCTTGTCCGCCATGTCTTCGACAAACTATATCCAACTATACGGCGATCACGTGACTCCTCAACACAGCGGCTGATCTGTGGCTCTTCTCGAGCTATCGCTCCGTCGTTTCGGCGAGCGCTTTCCCTTTCTCGCGTTAAACTCTCGGTACAACACGGTAGAAAAGCGACAGCGTGCGTGCGTACGTGCGTCGACGTCGACGAGTCACGTGAAGGGGAAGACGAGCGCGAACGCGCGGTACCTCGATCACGACCCCAATGTTCACGCTGTCCTACGCTGATTTCCGCTGGAGAGGGGATGAAGCAAGAGAAGAAAGCGCGAACGGCACGAATAGACCTTATTTGGCGACGTATGCGCGTCAGGAATGTAAAACGGCGAGTTGAGAATCACGTTTTAGGCACTGGGTAGTACATCAAACAACACGGTATCGTAATATTTTGAATCATAAATACAATTACACAATTTTCATAAAAAAGAGGGAGTGATGTTGGTACTAACAAAAACTCCTAGGCAACACAGAGTGCTTTCCAGGGGCGCTAGATTCTTGACGATGGGTGCTTTCCAGTTGCGTACACTGTGTTACACAAAACCAGTTTATTGGTTGCATATTGGCTTGGTTTACATCGTGCACTTGATACGTGTACTAAATAGTAACTTTCTATTAAATAATCTTAATATCGACGATATATATAAACAACGATATATTAAGCTGATATAATACTCATCAACAAAATGTATTGTATTGATAGAATGCGTCGCTGTTGATATGCATTGTCGATATTAAGATTATCTAATAGAAAGTTACTATTTAGTACGCGTATCAAGTGCACGATGTAAACTAGGCCACTATCTTACAAAATATTATTGGATGCGTTCAGATTCCCTACCCGGGTTCACTCTATTACTAGAAACACTATAGTATATGTTACATATACTATAGCACTTCTTGTATTAGAGTGCACCCGGGTAAGGAATCTGAACGTACCCTTAGATAATATGTAACCAATAAACTAGTTTTGTGTACGTGTTTGTCAAGTGTTAAGCAATTGAAAAGCACCCGATATGCGGACATCTTCGAAAATACGCCAATCAGAACACAGTATTTCCATCCAACATGAAAACAAGCACTGTATGTCGCTGGCTTAATATAAATATAAATATTCAATCAGAGATATTTTTTTGTTTTGTAACCACGGTAGCGTTTAGTTGGTTAGTTTGGTCCATTTAACACTCACAACGACGCGAGCGTTATTCTGGATGCTTTCCAATTGCTTAACACATCTTGACACATACGTACACAAAATCAGTTTATTGGTCGCATATTATCTAAAATATCTTGTGAGATAATACAACCAATAAACTGGTTTTGTGTAATACACAAAACGTAACTGGAAAGCACCCTCTATCTTTGGCTTGGTTTACATCGTGCACTTGATACGCGTACTAAATAGTAACTTTCTATTAGATAATCTTAATATCGACGATATGTATAAACAATGGTATATTAAGCTAGTATAATACTCATCAACAAAACGTATTGTATTGATAAAATGCGTCGCTGTTGATATGCATTGTTGATATTAAGATTATCTAATAGAAAATTACTATTTAGTACGCGTATCAAGTGCACGATGTAAACCAGGTCTTTGTTACTCGAAGCGTTGCGAACGTTAAGTGGATTAAACCAACCAACCAAACGGTATCGTAGTTACGAAATAAAAAAACGCCTTATAGCTCCTGCACACGGAACGCGATAATCCTTGTCGCGCGACAGAAATTCGCAGCCAATCAATATGCTGGTTTCCGTAATAACCTTCTAGCTTTTATGGAAAAACAACATATTTATTGGCTGTCGCGCGAACTTCCGCCGCGCGGCAAGCATTACCGCGTCCTGTGTGCAGAAGCCATTAGGGTACTTATTAAGCCCATATCAGACTACGGATTAAGATTTAATTGAAAATTGGCTAATCAGAGCAAAGTTCACCAAACTTGAACTTAGTGAATTTTACTCTGATTAGCTAAATTTCAATTCAATCTTAATCCTAATCTATAGTCTGATACGGGCTTTACACTGTCCAGTTCTAATGGCTCCTGCACACAGGACGCGATAATGCTTACCGCGCGGCGGAAGTCCGCGCAACAGCCAATCAATATGTTGTTTTTCCGTAAGAGCTAGAAGATTATTATGGAAAGCAGCATATTGATTGGCTGTCGCACGAACTTCCGCCGCGCGGCAAGCATTACCGCGTCCTGTGTGCAGGAGCCATTAATCGCTCCGAGAGCGATAAGTCATAAGTTTCTACTAACCAATCATAAAGCTTATTAGTACTTGTTCGACCAATAAACGTAAGCTGAATAACCCAGAGCCAGTCGAACATGCTATTAAAATAGCTGCACAATGGTTGCGTTCAGCAGGAAAGCTGCTTTGCAACTATTGTAAAATTCATGAATCTGATTGGAGTATGCTCTTAATTTTTGTTAAATCCAAGAGCATGTACCAATCAGATTCACGAGTTTTACACAGTTGCAAAGCAGCTTTTTCTGCTGAACGCAGCCAATGAAAATTACGTATACGCAAAAATTACAAGAATAGAGGTCCTGACCTCTAGTTTAGTATGGACACTGTGCAAATAAGTCTGTTCTTTATAATTGCACTTTGTGCACTATTCTTTTCTTTTTCCTTCTCTTTTTCACCAAGCGTCAAATATATATCTATTTTATTTTAAGTGTAGATAGTGCAACTTAGTGCATCTATAAAGAACAATTTAGAATGACAGTTATCGATGTTCTTATCGATAATCTCGCGCCCATACGGAGGAGTTACAACCTCTCAGCGGATCGTCCTCGAATCGAGTGATACAGCGTGTGATTTCATTGTACATATAGACTTTTTTATATTTTTAAAACAAACAGCAACCATAGCCACTCGTCATCCGAGTTTGAGGCAGCGTAATAATCGAGAAAATAAATGCGCCTGACAGAAGGGAGCATTCGGGCCGCGGAGAGGCTTCGTAGGATTAAGGGAATTTAGCGTTTATTCGTTCTCTCATCCATTCGCCGAGTGTTGGAGGCGTGAAGGATCATTAACACATTCGGCATCGCGATCGTTTTGAAAAGAAAATGACTCTCATGGAATTCTTCGGTTGCGCCTTCTTGGCCTTTGGTCCGCCGCTGGCTATGTTTACGTTCACCATCGCCGGCGACCCCATCAGGATAATCATACTAATAGCCAGCGCCTTTTTCTGGCTCATCTCTTTGTTACTGTCATCTGTGCTCTGGTACGCTGTTGTTCCATTGCAAAATTACCTCGCGTTTGGACTGGTGTTTTCTGTACTGTTCCAAGAAGGCTTCAGGTGATTCTTATTATGTAGACTACAAATAGGTCTGTTCTTTTTAAACGAACTAGGTCACATTTGTTGCCCCTCAAGTGAAATAAGTATATAATTTTGTTGAAGAAAAATGGAATAAAGTTTCAGTACAGCACTAGTTCAGCTAAGGATAGATTTATAAATTACGATAGATCTGTCTTTTTTAGCTGAACTAGATTGCAGAACTAGATTTGTTTCTTTTAGAGTGAAACAAGTATGAAGGAAGAAGGAACAAAGCTTCAATGCAGTATAGTATAACTAAAAAGAATAGGCCTAGACGATACAATAGGTTTGTTCTTTTGAGTTCAACTAGGTTGCATCTGTTGCCTTTTAAATGAAAAATGTACAATTTTATTGAAAGAAAAAGAAATAAAGTTCTAACTTGATATTAGTTTAGCTAAGAAGAATAGGCTTATAAACTGCAGTAGCTCTGTTCTTTTTAACTGGACTAAATTGTACTTGTCGCTTCCTGAATAAGATAAATATATAATCTCATTGAAGAAAAAAGGAACAAAGTTTCAGTATAGCATCGGTTTATCTAAAAAGAATAGACTTAATGTTTACTTATCTTTTATTTAATTGTGTATTTTATTTATTAAATGTTTTATGTCTAAAGGTATCTGTTGTATTCGGTGCTGCGTAAGGCTGAGAGAGGTTTGGAAAGAGTTACAACAACTCATGTAGGAGACAGCAGACATGTATTCGCTTATGTATGCGGCTTGGGTTTTGGTTTTATGAGTGGTGCCTTTGCCCTGGTTAATGTCCTGGCTGATGCAGTGGGACCTGGTACTATGGGACTACGACAAGGCACGGAATACTTCTTTGTGATATCTGCAGCCACCACTCTATGCTTCATCCTGCTGCATACATTCTGGGGTGTCATCTTCTTTTCAGCTATGGACAAGAAGAATTTAGGACATCTCGTCTGGGTCGTCGGGTCGCATCTGTTTGTCTCCTCTATGACGTTGCTCAATCGATACCAGGCTTACGCAGCCAGTATCTTGTCTGCTTACATAGTATTGGTGATAACAACCGTAATTGCGTTCAGAATCGCGGGCGGGAGGACGCAAAGTCTAATTCATTGTTTCCTAAGAAAATGAGAGCTTGCAGTGGAGAGTTCGTAGTTACTTGAAAACGTAAGTGCCCGTCTTTGGACGGATACGAGCGTAAAAACACGATTTACGTACATCCTCCCCCTTTAGACGTTAGTTTATAAGAAGATTGTTCATCGCTCTGTTATACAACACATGTAAGAACGGCGCGTTGGGCAGAATATTTTTATTCTTTGAATTTACTAAGCAGGCCAATGTGAAAAATATAGGTATACAATATTGTTGATAAATTTTGTGTGGCTAAACAAGATATCCCGCTATATTCCATGTATAATACATCCACTTGACCAAACAAAGAAATGGACTTCATGAGTGCATAACGTGTTATAATTAACAGCGAACTTGGCCGTCTGCACTACTCTGTGCTGATGAACACCAAAAGCTCACTTGTTATATATGAGGTCATCTGAGCGTAAAACAAAGCATGATAATATATTGCAATATTACATAATTTTACAAATATATCTGTCGATTTTATTGGTCAGGATGTTGCCGTTGTTTTTACGCTTAAATAATACTTCATGTGACTTCAGTATATACTAGTATGAAGTAGCGCAAATGGCTGAATTCGCCATAACTTTCAAAATATCTTACATGAAAATAGAAAGGGAGAGAAAGATGAGTAATCGAGAACGAGACGGGGAGTATCCTAATTGTGTTTTTCCTTTAAAAGGCTCTAGAATATTTCAAATATTTTGGTCAAGTTGCTAGTCCGTCCCTTAATCCATCGAAACAATTATGTGACGGAATCGCGATAACATTTCGATCCTGAACATGATGTCGAATTGTATAATATCCCCTTGTATCTTAAAGAGAACAAAATATATCTACTAAAATGTGTGTGTGTGTGTGTGTATGTATAGTGCGTGGTTACGTGCATGCGTAATCACGTATGCGTGTATGTATATATGTATGCGTCTACAATGAATACGTTATGTTAAACTTGGTGTATATTTTGTGCATCAATTTGCGCCTTAAGAGTAAATTCTTGAATTAGATTAAACAAGGGAATGGTAAAATTTAAGAAATTGTTCAGTACTTTTTGTAAGTAAAAAAAAAAGAAAGAAAAAGTCACCGATAATTATATACTCAACGTATAATTACTGTATAACATTCATATTGCTGTATCAATTATTGTATAACATTCATTTATCTTCACTTACCACAGCTCGCAATCGTTTATTATCCAATTCACATTTGCATTTCATGAGTCAAATAAAACCAATTTTTGTACAACTTTAGCTATACAAATCACTGTTATTCCTTTTATATGCAAAAATCATATAATTATAACGATTATATAATCACAACAAAAATCATATAATTATAACGGTACAATCATAATTAAAATCATATAATTACAACGAAAATCATATAATTACGCTAATTCGGCTATTATGGCTATTATTAACTCATTCTAAATTGCAACTGTAGATACATGTATAATGATTTCATGTTAGCTCGAGATAAAAAATAATATCAAACTACCGCTTAGGCGCTTCACGTTTCTATAAATCTTCGAATTATCTCTATAATAGCGATAATTTTAATACTTTTAAAGTATTATACTTTTTTAAAGTATATTTGTTTAATATATATATATATATATTAAACAAATATATATATATATATATATATATATATATATATATATATATATATATATATATATATA